CCACCCGTTTGCGTCACTCTTCATCGGCGCCAGAAGCGATTTCAACATCCCAAGTTTTCGCGTTTGTTGAAGTTTTGAACAATCTCGGTGGCCATCTTGCGTAGACCTGACGAGAGTATGGAGAACTCTGTACGTTCCGCCACCTCGAGCACGTCAGACTCACGAAGTGGTCGGGAAGGCTCAGTCTTTACAAGCGAAAGGAAGGCACCCCGCAAGCTACTTAATGGTCTGGTGTAAGCCAGGTGTGCCTCTTTGCTTATGCTGAAGGGCGAACACACTCTTCCTCCACAATATTCGAAGCTGGCAGGCTGAGTGGCGTGAGTTTCGACGGCGTCAAGGATGGCAAACACGGGCAGAAGCCGCGTGCTAAGCAGCACGCAGTCAGCCGCGTCATCCAGCAATTTAAGCCGTCGCAGCGCCGAGCTAGACTCGATCATGACGAGGAGCCTTCGACCAAGTGATTGTTCGGGGGAGTCATCGATGAGGCGAGCCTGGTGACCACCCATGCTCTTGATGCGCAGCACTACGGATCCATCAGCATTTGTCTCTTCCCTGAGGCATCCTATAGCGTCACTGGACAACTCCGTCGAGTCAGCGCCTTGTGTGCTTTCGTGCCATTCCGTGAGGGATAAATAGTCGTTATTCCATTGAACGCTGATGCTCAGCTCCTCTACGTGCTCCATCATGTCCTTGTAGTAGGCTGAAGCCAAATTCGCACCACGCATCGACCAAAGGCTCTACGCTGGTCAGCGTCTTTTTGGGAACGTAGGCCTGTGCACTTCCGGAAGCTCACCTGGCATACAGAATTGAGGATATATGTACTTAATCTCGAGAATCCGTAAACAGCCCAAAGCAGCTATGTGCTGCACCAGGCGTTCAGGTAGAGGTGCTGCTCTATCGATCATGATCAGGTGACGAGGTCTCAACAATGAGATTAATGTCTGGACCGCATTCCAATACTCTTCGAAGCTGTCGATGCCAGGTATCAAACCGTCACCGAATGGGCCGTTGAGGTCGTCGTAGTCCTCGACTTCTATGCCAGCGTGACCCTCTCCGAGTGTGAAGGCATCCGCATCGTAGAAGTCGTCGGGCTCAAGAAAGGGCCATGTAGGTTCGTCGATGCGAACGCACATATCACATTCACACGCCTCGCCTTTCCTCTCCTTTAGCTTTTCGACCAGTACTTTGTACTCCTCTCGGCTTTTATCCAATGCGGAAGGATGCCCATAGCAATCCTCGCCCTGGCTATAGAATGGTATGCGCATGATCCGCCTCAAATCCATGAAGACCCTCTCGGCCAGAGAAGGCACGCTTCGAATATCTGGTTCAATGATATACCCATCCTGGTCGGAGCCCCAAAGCTTGTGCGAAAAGTTGCTAGGTGCATACTGATCTGAGCCCACCGTGAGAGTCTTGACCTCACGCGTGAGCCAGGGGAAAGAGCGGCACTCCGCGATCATGTCCAAGACTTCATTGCAATCTGCGTGAACGTATTGCCACCTATTGCGCATGACGATAGCGAACCAGTAGCGAGACTGAAAGCCAGCATATGCAAGTCAGCAGCTGGCGGCTGCTTCCAACTTTGATACAGACACGGCGCTAACTCACGATGCCTAGCATGATTCGGTCGTCCACACAATCGTCTTGAAGCATCGCGAGGATGTTGTATACAACCTCCGCCGGAAGGCGTGTAAAAGGGTCGGAGGGATCGAACGCTTGCATGTTCAGCCGCAGTGTGCAGGGAACTTGAGAGGTTGTCGCTCACTGTCGCAATGTGACTGTGGTTGATGTAGAGGATTGAAACTAGGTCCTGATTGATAGCAAGGGTGTCAGCGACGAGATTGAAGATCTGAAGTCGACAAGTAGCAGTGGCCGCTGCGAGTCGAGTAGCGAATCAAGCTTGATAGGCCACTTTGTGAGTGGCCGCTTCGGTGTCCAGCCTCGTCCCGGTTGACGGCCTTATCGTGATCTTTTCTTGTCGACGGGCTTGAGTCGGACTGTCAGTGAGGCCATCCACCTGTTGCTGCGTTCTCGTTCCAGAGTGCACTTCTTTCAGGCAAGATGGTTGTCGTGCGGTCGGGTGCGGCGGCCGGCAAGAGCTGTCTTAGTGTCTTCAAGCAGAGGCATAGAGTAGCTCTTGATGCGGCGTCGCAACTTGCGTCGATGGACCGCGTGTATTCGCTGCAGCGTGGCGTCGTACCACGAGGTAACGGGGTCCAGACGCGCAAGCTCCGCTAGCGTTCTTTGGCTTCGCTCAAGATTGCTTCAGTCACGATTGCTGAGCATAAGCACGATATGTCGCAGGACGGTGTCAGACGTGAGCGTTATTAGACAACACTCACGACTGAGACGTTCGTGATTCGAGCGACGATACAGCATCACTTCATGTTCAGGTATTGATACCGGATTCACGATTGGTGGGTGCGGATCACGCCCTCACTCACAGACTCGCGATTGCTGCTTATCGTCTTTTCTGCATGCGTGGGACAGTGCGCGGGCGCACATTCGCGTAGGCGAATCACGAACGAATCACAGAACGTGAATCACGAACACGCGAACTTTCCCATGCTCTCCGCCACGTGCATGCAGCAGAGGTGCAGCAAAGCGATCAACACGAGGTCGGCCGAGCAGATTCAAGATTGCATCCAGACTGCTCAAGAGCGTGAATGTTTCAACAACACCACAACCCACATGGTCATACAGTCATGGCTAGTCTAGCTTTGAGTGGCAGCTCTAGTGC